TCTCGACATAGATCAATACTTTCTTTTAGTCGTCCATCAGAACTATCTTTTATGTAACAAATAGTTTATGAGTGATTTTGATTTTGAAATGATTGAATATCCTAAAAAACGGCGATGATGGTAGAAGAAATAAGCGATTACCCTCAGATTTCAGTATCAATCTTAAATATTTGATTCATAAGATGTTACATAGTACACCATCTGACAATATTCTAATAATAAATAATAAAATATATATGTAGTAATACGACTATAATAATTTAATTTCATAGACAGCCTAATGATATCGTATAATAAGTATTTATTTTGATTAATAATTTACCATTAATTTTTATACTTTGATGTTTATATTCTCTTATTAAAAAATAATAGGATTATTTATGAAACATTTTTAAATTGAAGGATTATTTATGAAACGTATTTTAAAATGAAGACCAATTTTAATTTCATGTTCTATAATATCTTTCATGTGGAATGCATATATTTATACTATCAGATACTTTTCTTGTTGCATATTAACTAATATTATTATGACTAATATTATTATATTATTATCGTTTACCTATCTGTTATTAAAGGATCCAAACGTTGTTTACAGTCCTCACAATGCTTTGAATCATCGGAAATCACTTGTGGGATTTTACTGAGGAGACTTCCTGGTCCCGAAGAGACATTTCCTGCTCTCCAACGTCTTGGCACGCCTCGAGTGCTGACTTGACTGCTCTTTGATCCCACCCCGCTGTCAGTTCTTTCTATATCTACAGCTTGTACCTTTTAAAGGTTACAATTCTCATTATATTTTTTTTAATCTTTATCCAAACATATTATAAGCGATGTTGTCGTATTTATAAGTATGCAAATTTTTATTTGAAGAAACAGTGAATATAACGTTATCACAAAAACAGAATACAAGTTATCTTATCTGTTTATATTAAAAAATCATTAAGAAACTATAGAGAATGAAATTGTAGCATAACCAACATAAAGGACGAAAATAATTTGAAAAGAGAAAATAATATTTTCTCATATTTTTTTTTAAAATCGACACGTAAGTAAGACGATAAAATTTGAAAAATCTTTATTATTATTTTATTTTTCTTTATAAAGATTTTTATTTCATATAGAAAGTTTATCATTAGAATTTATTATATTTTTTCAAACGCTAGTGAAGAAATAAAATCTAATTGGAGATTTTTTTCATTCAAGAGAAATTGTGACGAGTGTACCACCTTAGATACTTTCTGCAATTTTTGTATTTAAAATACGTAGGATTTACACCATGCTGTTAAAACGGATTATATATATATTAATACTTTTTCTTCCCCTTTTCATGTTCTTCGTTTGTATTGAACAAAAAATACTTACATGTGTTACAGTTTTATTTGCGCTTTTTTTTATATACGGTGCTGTACTTACTTCTGACGCACAATCATTTCTTCATCTACTGTAAAATACTAATCCAGCAACATGTTTGCTCTATTATCTTCAATTTTTAAAAACACGAATGTTTCTAAAAATGTACAAAAATATGTGTAATTTTTGCGAACAAAAATGATATGTTGTATGGAAAATAAAGATTCCGGGTTCTAAAATCTAGAAGGTTTAATTTAATCTTAAATAGAATTCAAATGGATCTTTTTAATTTATCTGCAATAAATTAAATAAAAAGATAATTGGAGGTGACTGAAGGTTAATTCTTAATTACATGTGTCCTTTCTATATTGAAATATTGGAAAAATTGAAATATATGTGAAATGTGAAATTTGAATGATACAAATATATTCCTTGTTGTAGATTAAATTCAGCAGAGTGGATTCATCAGATTTGATCACGGTTATTACAAGAAGAATTGAAAGTAAAAAAGTATTTGTCGATAGTAAATATGAAAATAAAATAAAAATATCAATCTCTTGATGGAGATATTATTATATAAACTTTATTTATTGAGTGTCAAATTAATATTTATATACGATATAATAACTATTATACTTCCTATAATAATTTATATTTATTAAATTACTTTCTTTACTACTGTTTTAAAGAATCAAAAATTTTTTTTTGCTTGTTGCAATTTTCGGCACAATTGGTTTAAAAACGAAACACTGTTTATATTTGAACATGCTAACAATAAGATATTCACGTACGTGAAATTATATTNACAATTTTTAGTTTGTGTGTTAGACGCCATAAAATACTGTTAATTATTATTCAAATTCAAGGAATAGTTATATATAGATATGGAATATATCTAGTACACTAATTAATTTATGTATAAATCATTATTAAGCCTGATTTTACGAAATATTTGACAGTTTCTTGGTTCTCGTAAATCGTAAGGGTACAAAGTATAATATCCCTATTACCTATATTTTTTTAATATTATGTACATTATTATCAATTTTCATTTTCGTGAAAGTTAAATGTCTTTCATGAAAATATACAAGAGTAAAAGCTCGATTCATGACGGTATTTCATATAATCTGATAAAAAGTACCCAATACTACACCGGTCAGTATCACAGCTACTTTCTGCTCTTTCAATTTCAATGCGATTGTTAATTAAATAGTGCTATGAGTGGACAATTATTCATCCGGTATAGATGTAGTTGTGGTATCTAGGAGAAGAGAAAAAGGGAACAATTTTTTGACGGTATATGTTGTTGGGAACAATTTTTTGACGGTACAACATGTTAACTACAGCGACGTAGGAAACTTATGTTTCTGCAACGTACTGTAACCGAACGCAAAATAATTTGCGCACGATAGAAAATAGATTTTCATATTACTCATTGACACGTATCATCAATGAGCAGAGGAAATCTTTTGGTCCAACATATACATTCTCCTTGATAAATCACTACAAATTCATCTGGAGATCATACGTCAGTTTAATTGTTTGCACGAACTTATTCGTCCATGTTTAGGAATCATAGTAACTTTTAAATAATAGCAAATTTAAGTTCTATTTTTATATCTAATCGTGTCGTATTTTCATCAATTTCTCGCTACACCGCATATCATGATATTTGGTAGCGCTCCACGACGTTTGCGCCATGCACCAAGAGATTGTGCGTGTGCCTGTAACGTCCTACACCATCTCTTTGTTCTTGCGCCATCTTCGGCCTACAACATATTATTTATTGTAATTGATATAAAAATTGTAAAGAAAAATATTAAATGTTTCATATCATTATGTGTATATACAAAAATTTTATCTATGTTTTATAGATAATGCAACAATGAAGTAAGAAAATTGAAAACATATTTGTTAGAATATAATGATGAAAATGAATTTCATTAAAAATATTTCTTTGAAAACATGATGTAAATTATATTAAATAATATCCCTTTTTTATTCCATATATTAGTAGACATTTTGTATAATAATATTAAATTAATTATTTTATCGTTGTCACCTTAAATATAAATGTTTCCTTCGATGATAACTCTTGAACCTCGAAATAATCTTCGAGGTCTGTTTCACAACATACTATACACTTATCGAGATACAACGGTTCCTGAAATACATAAAATTTTATATATTAACAAGAAATTCGATCGATTCAAGCGATTCAGAATCGTGCAAATAGCTTACGCGCAGTAACGAATAGCGTCCAAGTTTTTCTTTAACCAGTAATAACGTGGCTTCCTTAATACCAATGTGTCTCGGAAAGAGAGAATCGTCGTTAAATTCTAGATCCTCTGCATTTGGCTATGGAAAAATAGTTTATAATGTATAAATACACGCAAATAATAAATACAGAATACAATAGAGCTGTCCATATCCAAGCTTTTTTCATTCGAATACTTCGATGTCTAAAACGTTCTACTGTTCAAGTATTCTATTAACAGAACAGAATATTTCCTAGTTAAAGATTGCTTTTCTTGTACTTTTCTTGTACTATTTCATATTATATATTATTACATTTGTCATATTTTAATATATTTTATATACTGTACATTGTAGCAATTATAAAAGATATATATATATATATCTCTTTTATAATTGCTAAAATAAGAGATACAAGATTTTGTCAAAAAAGCAATGTGGAACATACATATAAGAGGTCATGTACATACTATATTTAATTTTGTGATAAATCATTTGCGATAAAACTGTTTTTGGTCAGATATAGAATGCTAAATTAAAATAGTATGTTGAGGATCTATCTCTCTGATGAAACATTCGAGAAAATTGTTTAAAGAATAAAAAAAGTATACTTATATACTAAAAAACGTAGGTAATAATCGAAAAAAATATAATATTTTTGAATACTGAAATGAAATGATAATTTCGTGATCTCTATGTGGAAACGCAA